CAGAGCTGAGGATGAAGGCTCAGAGACCCAGTAGTTCTCAAACTATCAACCCCACCACCCTAAGAGACAGTACCCATTCAGCACACTGTAAATTCTTGTTAGTATCAAGTCCATGTTATTGTGAGGAACATAGTTTATTTTTACTGCTGTGTACTGCATCCCAACTGACTCCATTTCCAACTGAAAAAGCATTAAAAACACTCCAATATATGTTGATTGCAGTGTTGGAAATAAGCCACTAGGAATGCAAGAAGAATAAACCTGATACATGAAAACAAATCACTTGATCTGGTTTTTGTATTAACCAGTCCTTACACAATGATGCCCATACCTCCCATATTAATGGCTCCACGAGGGCCCAGCTCACCCACTCTCATTTCCTGTTCTCTCTGGAAGAAGTGAAGAGAAGCCTTCAGAATAACACTCTGCTAAAATACAAACGCTCAGCGGAGAGCCAACTGCAGAACACTCACACTCACAAATCATTACATTTCCACACAATGGCAGACAAGCAATCTCACACTTGGATGAATAGCAGTTGTAGTAAAGCTGAAATTCAGTGTTAGCTTTAGTGCTTCTTTGACTCTATTCAAACAAGGACAAATTACTTTTGTAAAAACCTATATCAAATAAAACTGTTAAAATCTGACACACCAAGTTGGCAAAGAAATTTCATAAAGCACGTTCTTCATATGTGAATCCAAGGACAGCATGGTGACTGCAACAATACTGTAAGGGAGCCTTCATTTGTAGTAATTTATCAAGTTACAGAATGTCAAGGATGGAGAATAAAGTAAATAGAGTCCATTTTGCCTCTCTCTCTACCAATAACAACAGTTTTTGCAATACAGACCCGCGTCAGTACAAAAATGAAAGCACTTGGACATATCTGAGTACAGCATGTCCAAGTGCATTTCTCCTTTAAATAATTAAAGATATTATATATAAATACAATATAACTGGTTTGTAATTTTTGTAAATTCAAAAATGTTGTTCTGAAGTTCTTTTCTTGGGTTTTTTTTAAATAAACATATCATATAACAACTAGTGTTGTAATTTTTGGTTTGCATTGGAAGCTAAGCACAAAACACACACAGTCACCATATTTACCCAAAGTCAAAAATCTATGTACATGTACATTAATGGTAGCAGACAGGCGAGGATTTGGTGATACCCGTTTAGGTCATTTTGGTGTGTCCGACCCCATGGTCACGCTCGCTTTTCCACACGCACACAACACCCCTACTAAGACATTTCATTTACACACACAGACACACACACACGTATATTCACACTCACTCTCACACTCACTTACACATAATCCTGCAGACACAAAAAGTAATTAAGATTCGAAACAGACCAAATCTAGTATGAGAAAACATAAAAAAAATAATGTTCTATTTTAATATAAAGTAAAACTTGTATGAGTAGGTCGATATGCACATTTCCACAATTAAATCACAATCTATACAACAGACATTCATAATACAGTTCAACAACAATCATGAATGTGGCCTACGTCAAAGATATCATTGGAGAAGGTGGGAGAGGAAACAAGTTACTGGAAATACTGTGATTCTAAACTTCTGTACCATTTACTGTACTTACCTTTTAAATGGTCACTATGTTGCAGTTTTAAGAAAACTGACTAAAATTGCACTGATCTAAAGTATCTATCAAACAATGATTATTTTACTGCTACTTTAAACTCTAGAGAGCAACAAATGCAAGATTTAGATTCTTGGGAGACAATAAAACCTACAACATTGTACTACAACCTACACCTAAGTACTACAAATTACAAGGACATGAGCAAGTTTAAAAAAATATTTTACTCATCATTGCAAGATATATACTATATCCACATTAAGTGGCAAATGTCCTGACAAACAAAACATGAAACCCTCTTAGTTGTCTGGTTAATACAAAGTGGTTTCTAATTGTTCTTTCTCGGGTATTCTACTACAAAAATGTTCATGTTCATTGACACTTCCATTTTTTGTACTGTATTTTTTGATTACTACTCTGACTAAAACTCATAAGAGACAGATGGCAGACATTGGTAGGTCTAGGTACATTTGTTCAGCATCCATTTGCTATGTGAAAGTAAATAGACGCCAACAGGACCTTTAAACACAGCAAAGGACACGAAGAGAAAAGTTATAACAGAAATCAATAAAATGCAGTATCATACGAACAGCTACACACCTACATGACAGCATAGTCAGATCATTACAAATAGTCACTGCTGTTAACACTAAATGTTGCTTTTTACCAGCTGATCATATACAGAGCCCTCAGCATGTTTAAAAACGAGATATTTATAGACTCTGTAAAGATATTTTCAAAGTTAAGCCCTACATGTTACACTTTAATAAGATAAAACAGGTTGGGGTGGATGTCACATGTTTTATTACATAACTTATATTTTTCTTTTTTTAAATTGTAGCAAAAATGTCTATGTAGCAAAAACTCTATTCACACAACCTGTATTGAGATCATGAGAACTTTAATTTAGAAACTGGCAGAGCAACAGAGCTGCACTGTTTGACTTCAAATTTTGTTTAGTGCATGTGCATCCTGCTAACTGAAACGAAACTAAGGCACATCCTTACAAAAATGTGGATTGTCACAAAAGACTGTTGAGCACTGAGACATGAATAGCTTAATTACCTAAAACAACACTTCTGCAAAAAATACTGCTAATACTTAATTTTTATTTTGTATAAGACCCCTTTTAAAAAATAAAAATAAATCAGCTTAAAGTTTTGAAACATTGTCATGATCTTATCAGCATCTGAACTACACAAAGTCTGAGACGGATGTAGTTTCTATGAGTGTACTAACTACGACCAGTCTTGCAGTCATATTTTCTTGCTTCATTACAATTTTATTTATTTAAATAAATAACTAAATAAATAAATAAGAACAATCAAAAAACGCCAAGAGTCGATTGCCAATCCTCACAATAGTGGAGCAGTTATAGCTGCACATACATTTGGGACGTGTTTGTTAAAGACAACACGTTTAAAGAACAAGACTATATGTTGTAACAGCACATCTAAACCCAGTTTACTTAAACAATGCTAGTGGTTTACAGCGTAATGTGTGATTAGAGATTTAATGATGTATGTGACTACATTGGACAGATTAGGCTATGTTATTCCATACTGTTAGCAGACACATAAATGTGGCACAACCAATTAATTTTTGCTTTATGAGGAAAAAGAGAAAAAAAAGAAACAAATTAACACCAACATGCTGAACATGTATCACTGACTATGTTACGACAACAAATAAGGCTTACTGTAAATCCTTTATTATTTTACTTAGGAATAAATATACATAAACTACATATACATTAATATGGTATTAAAAAATATTGTAGGTCACCATTTATTGAGTACTAACTACGAACAAACAGTTTTCTCTATACATATTTACACAGTTGAAATGCCTAATAAGCATTTCAGGAACTATGTGAATTCTACATCAATCACAATAATCATGCATTTTGAACCCCCACTGACAACTCTGAGTATTCAATGGCTCTGACTGCAACTAATAAAGCATTACAAGCTTTCATAAACAGGAGATGAAGTCAAATAAAGCTTGAAGTCAAATAAAGCTTGTAGAAAAACTACAAAAAAATATAGTGAGTCAGATTCTTGTCAGTTGAAGTGACGCAAAATAAATCCAAACAGGAAAAACATGTTCTCCTCAGCAAAGACCACAGGCTGTATATAAAATATAAACACAGCCACCAGGTCAGGGAAGTGAAGCTAATCTTGAAGTTCCCTCACTATCACTGAGGGCTGCTACATGTTAGCTATTTGTATTAACTTTTTAGTTGTATAAACTGAGTACAAAGTTAATATACCAGTGAACTCCAGTCACAGAAATGTTTTGAATCATGAAATTTCATCAGTGTCGTCATTTGTTAGAAAATTTGTGTTTTCTGCTTATTTTTGCACAAGTTGGCTTATTTTACAGTTACATAACGAAAGATTCCAATTTACAGTTTTGGCAAATAGAAGAATCTGAATGCTATTTATATATCTACAATGCACACAATAGTGTTGGTATGACCAAGTGCTGTGACCAGAGAAAGGGAAACAGCTATCATTCCTAATAATATCACTTATTAAAGTTAGCAAGCTAGCCTGTGATACCTGACCTTTAAGTGGTGTAACTTCTTGTTCCAAATAACCACTTCGGTAACAGCCACATGCCAAGCTCGCAGTTTCCAAAAGATAATATTTCTTTCACTAGTTTGACAAAAGAGCATGCAGCACTTTTCCTACTAATCAAATTTGCTGTCAAACTAGATTTCTACACAAGTCTGACTATAAAAGAAATGTCAGTTCTGGGGATGTTTCTATAAGGATAGCGACCTGAAGCACAAACTAAACCCAACATTTGTGCGTGTGGTCTGACATACTCACACTACTTCTGCTCTTAGAAGACAAAAATTATAACTTCAACCAACCCAGCGTGTTAAAATTATGGGTTATTTTGGAACTGATGTATGAAGTACAGGATACATCGTCATACTAAAACTACTTCCTCAAGAAAGGAATAAAAGAAACTGATTGCAACAGATAAGACACACTACTAGTAACAAAGTCCAACAACTGAAGGTTATGAAGTAAGATGTAAAGGTACAGCTCTGTATTGATGGCTGTACAGGGTGTATCACACTACTTCGGTAGTTTCATCAAAGTCAATAAGTCAATCTCTTTATATTCCTACATTGTGCTTTTTTACATTTAGACTTCTGAAAACGAATTAAAAAACAAAACAAAACTGTATGGTGCGATGTGACGTGCATAAATATACAGGTTGTATATGTAGGTATTAAGTAAGAAAGTATTAAAAAAAAACACCAGTCTTTAGGTTACATTACTGGCAGATGCTATTAATTTTAGGTGGCTGTGTACCCTCAAATCAGTATAGAAAGTAACCAGGCGGGTGGATGTATGAGCTCCATTTGTACTCACGTTTTCCATGTAGTTTGGTTTGAAGCCATCTGGTTGGCGTCTCAGGTCTTCCTGCTCTCTGTGCCTCATCAGCTCCTCCTCCCTCCTCCTCCTCTCTTCCTCGTGCCTACAAAGCAAAGAGTAAACAATGTGTGAACAACTGCAGATCGATTAACACAAACCTCAATGAGCTTTAAAAGAAAGCATCTTATCGTCAGATTGATTCTAGTCCAGTAATTTTCATTTATTTTTAATATGTAAACAACCAAAATAAATGGGACAAGTGGGGTAAAAATGAACCACGACTTTTAACCTAACAGATCTGTGCCTCAAGAGAAGCAAAACATCATTTGGCCCTTTACAGTAAATACTAATCACATTCTCATGAACTTTAACTGCTTAAATAAAGAAGCACACCTCATCTCTATCTGCTTTCGTCTCTGTAGCTCTTGGTTGCGAAGCTCCTCAAGTCTCCTCAGCTCCTCCTGACGTCTCATTAGGTCTAGATCAATGACAGTAAACGTAAAAAAGTTCATCCAAGAAATGAGAGACTCACTGGAAAGGCAACTGATTGTAAGGCTACATTATATTGCATGATATTTATTTTCACAAAGTTCTGTGAAATAACAATTTTTCTTTCTTTAATTTTTTAAATCAGAGAAAACCCCAACAGTATTATTAACCAGTTCATTTCGGAAAGGTCCATATATTTTTCTTCCATCTAAATATATGCGAAAAGCTGATTAGCATCTCCAAAACATTACTAGATATTATCCACATTAGCAGGCTGGTATTAAACTCCATATGTAAAAATGAGCAATACAGGCCACAGACCACACCTTGTCTCATTAACATGAGCTGATGTTCATGCTTGGCTGACTCCAGCTCGGCCTCCAGTTTCTCTTTAGCTTCTTTAATGTTCCTGTCCACCTGGTCCCTCTGCTGTTTCTCCATCTCATCAAGAGCTTTCCAACGAGATGAGAACTCAAACTCAAATGTCCCGGGCTGAGCAAAACGTGGCTTCTGTTCTCGTTCCCTGTGGAGAAAATGCAAGTACTGTCAATAAATCTGAATTATAGCATTCCTCTGATACGGACCTTCAGTTGTCTACAACAGTATCAAAGGAAGGAAACCACTGAGTTATGATGTGACTGCAAAATGACTCATTGCTTACTTATAGTACTTTGGAGTCTTTTGCAGCAGTTTTTCAGAAAGGCCATCCTCATCATCAAAGTGTTCTGCAGGTTCCACAATGGCAGGACAGGGTGTTCTGAAAAAAGTGAAGAAACTGTGTTAATACTAACATTAGCAGATAATTAGCAGTTAATAAACTTTGGGAGACCCGCATATGTGCATTTGGCAACCTGTTTTACCCTTCTGTTCATGAGGACAGTTAATTTTCCACTGGACAATCTCCTCTTATTTTAAAAATTCAGTCACTTCTCACCAGCTATCCCCAGCCCTTCCTGGCCTGCATTTTTTGCACAACTGCTGGCTCACTGTCCATGCTGCTATTCGAGCATTTCTCAGTACCCTTCAGCTGCTTCTCCAGATGGACTCCAGCTCCATTATCTTGGACTGCAGCTTCTTGAGAGCTCCTCCATGCTGTAGGGTCTGTTAGAATGTTCAGCAGCAGGAAAACTGGTTCATGGGATGCTAAGCTACTGCTACTGTCACCAGCTGAAGTCCCAGGAGATTTAGTTAGGAGTTCATTCGTGTGACAACTCTCGACGGAGAATGATTTGATTATATTGCTCACATATTTGTGACAAAGTGATTATGGAAATAAGTTCTGAAAGCATGTTCAATTTGTGCAGACTCATGTATCTGTACACTCAGACTTATTGTATTAATCCTATGAAACATTGCCACAGGAAGTACTGGGGATACTGATGAAGGGTGACAAAATTAATCCTAAAACCATCTTTTTCACTTCTATAATGGCAAGGACCTAATGTGGTGTTGCCTCAGTTTTAAAATAAAAACAAGTTACTTTAAAGCACCGAATGTAATTACAAACTCAACACCAGAATGAACATATTCAAATGTTTTCAGCTCATTAAATAGCCTCATCCCTCTGCTCCTTACGTGGTCAGCAACAGTGCTCCCTCGGTGCACCGCTCCAGAGCTTTACGCGCTGCTACTTTGCTTGCAAACTCCACAATGCCTCTCCCAGTGGGACGACCTCGGTCATCTGTCACAACAATAGCCCGTTCCACTGGTCCAAACTGGGAAAACGCCTGAGGATACAGCGAAGTTAGGTAACCATAAATGCATAAATCATCGTAGCAATACAGAGGAACGAGACATGCAGATTTTACTAAATAGTTTTCTTCTCTTGTCTACTCTACCTGTTCCAGCAGTTCATTTGTCACCACAGGCAGCAGATTGCGCACTGTGAGCGCAGAACCGTGTGTGGCAAAGCGGACTCTGATTGGTCGATTATTCAAAATAGTCCCATCCAGCTCGGCTTTAGCGATCTCTGCTAGAGTTCGGGTTTCCTGAAGAGATAAAGACGCATTCCCTCAACATTGCTTTCACGCAATATTGTTAAAGTGTGCCTGACATAACGTATAGGATGTAGAATTGCCAATAAATAAATAAAAATAAATAATTTACTCTCAAATATAAGACGCTAGCTTCCAATATATATTAGTTAGTAATGCTACATAAAAGCTTGCTATATGTGTGTGTGTGTGTGTGTTTATTATATTTGAGGCTTCACGTTAAAACCAACAAGTAGAACTATTTTCCATACCAAACGAATGAAGCCGAAGCCCCGCTCTCTGTTGATGAACACCTCGTTGACGTTCCCATATTTAGAAAACATGTTTTTGAACTCCTCCTCTGGAATATCCGGCGGGAGACTGCCGACAAAAAGACGGGAGCGCTGAGTGAACGTCTTTTCACCGGGCTTTCGGAAACTAGTAATGTCTAGGGTCATTTCTGTCGGGCCTTCGCCGCTTCCTTCCACGGCTCCTTCCATTTGTTCAGCAACGGGGGACTGCCTCGGCGGGGCCGGGCTGTCTTTGTTCGCCGGTGTCTGCTCCGCGGCCGGTGAGTCGGTTCCGCGTCTCGCCGGTTGAGGAGAATTGTTGCTTTGCATGTTAACTTGTTGCATATTTCGATTAGCCATGCTTGGAATACTTTTGTTGTGGAAATTTGCCCAAGTTTAATTGACTGGCTGCACACCAGCAATGCCTGCATACGCCTCCTTCTAATTTTAAAGATGGCGACGGCTGCGTGCGCAACTTTCTTCCAGTTCTCGTGAGATTTGTGGCAGACGCATCGGGTAAGCGTTACCATAGTCACTACAAGATTTGATGGTTCGTTTTAGTGTAAAGAAGTATTTACCAATTACTGTAGAAAACAGTGAGAACTGTGAGAAGAGACTTTTGCAACTGACCCTGTTACTAGTAACAGCACGTTTGAAGCTGAAGCTCCGGCGCATTCAACACACTTCCGAAACGAGGCTTGGTTCGTCTGAACAGAGTCACGTGATCAATGACGTCCGAAGCTTCATTGGACACGATTCAACAGAACCTTCATTCACCATGGAACATGTTTAAACAAGGAAGGTTAATTAATCAAAATGATTTATTATAAACATAGACATAACGTCATTTTTTCACCCCAAAAAATACATGTTCAAAGCACCATATCAGCCCAATATCAAACAGAAGCTGTCAATTCAGCTCTGTAGACTGGGCAATCATAATAAAGCAGTTCTCCAAAAGTTGATTCTGTTCATCTGGATGTAGTGTTTTGTGGGAGAAACGTTTCGTCACTCATCCAAGTGACTTCTTCAGTCTCAGCTGACTGCAGGTTTCGCCAATCTTATAAACAGTACATTTGCATAATGACTGAAACCAGCCCACTGAAGGAACAATGGGCTGTGAGGTCAGTAAAAAAAGCAAAATAAAGCAGTTCATTTTAAGTTGTAGATTCATGCTGCTCTTCATATTTTTGCCCACCAGATGTCACCAAAGATGACTGTGTTGAAGAGCTTCGAGTAATGAACCGTTTCTCAATACAAGCTTCAATACTTCAGAAAGCTTCATTTGGCTATCACTACTGTTACACATGTTGTATTGTATTGTTGCTGATGATGATGATGTTACTCACATCATCCTCAGATACTCAGTCTGTAGAAAGTTATATATTTAAAATATATACACTACTCGTCAAAACTTTGGACACACCTTCTCATTTAATGTGTTTTCTTTATTTTTACTACTTTCTACTTTGAAGATACATACTGAAGACATTAATATATGAAGCAAGATATATGGAATTATCCAGCAAAGAAAAAAAAAAAAAATTCTGAATTTATCTTATATTTTAGATTCCTGAAAGTAGCCACCTTTTGCTTTGTTGACAGCACTGCAAACCCTTGGCCTTCTCTCAGTGAGCTTCATGATGTAGTCACCTGAAATGGCTTTCACTTCACAGGTGTACCTTGTAGAGTGCTCATTTGTGGAATTTCTTGCCGTCTTAATGGGGTTGGGACCATCAGTTGTGTTGTGCAGCAGTCAGGTTGGTACACAGCTGACAGCCCTATTTGACAACAGTTAGAATTCATATTCAATTCAATTCAGTTTGATATTATTTATACAGCGCCAAATCACAACAACAATTGCCTCAAGGTGCTTTATATTGTAAGGTAGAGCGTAAAATAATACATACAGAGAAAAACCCAACAATCATATTGTGGTGAGTTGGGAGCGGCTAGTTATCTCCCATCATGCCTTGGGAATATGTGTTGCTGTTTAAGATGTTTATTGTTTATGGTTACGTGACTCTTAACTGTTCTTGTTGATGCTGCAGTATAAATTCACAGACAATTATTGTTAATGTAAAGAATGTAGTGCCATGAGTGAGTTCAGGCTTGTAGTTATTGACTCTCTGAAACACAGTGTAGTAGAGGGAAGTGTTCAATAAAGAGCTCTCCCTATCCTTTTGGGGTAGAACAGCAAGCTTAATGTCTGTGTAGGTGCTTTGTTGTTAAGGTTCCTCAGCTTGACACAATATGACCCCCTATGAGCAAGCACCTTGGCAACAGTGGGAAGGAAAAACTCAATTTTAACAGGAAGAAACCTCTGACAGAACCAGGCTCAGGGAGGGGCGGGGCCATCTGCTGCGACTGGTTGGGGTGAGAGAAGGAAGACAGGATGAAAAAAATGCTGTGGAAGAGAGACAGAGATTAATAACAAGTATGATTCGGTGCAGAGACGTCTATTAACACATAGTGAGTGAGAAAGGTGACTGAAGAAGAAATACTAAATGCATCACGGGAATCCTCCAGCGGCCTTTGCCTATTGCAGCATAACTAAGGGAGGATTCAGGGTCACCTGATCCAGCCCTAACTATATGCTTTAGCAAAAAGGAAAGTTTTAAGCCTAATCTTGAAAGTAGAGATAGTGTCTGTCTCCTGAATCCAAACTGGAAGCTGGTTCCACAGAAGAGGGGCCTGAAAACTGAAGGCTCTCCCTCCCATTCTACTTTTAAATACTCTAGGAACAACAAGTAAGCCTGCAGTGTGAGAGCGAAGTGCTCTAATAGGGTGATATGGTACTACAAGGTTTTGTTTATTCTTTTGTGTAAAGGTAAGTCTTTGAACTTGTATATATAAATATACATTTTTGTGCCTTGACCTGTTTTGACTGGGGAGATAGGATTGGTGTTTCAGTTCGTGGGACTTTAAGGACAAATCTGTGATTCAAAAGTAAAAATCGAATGTGTCTTCTCTTCTAATAACCATCAGGAGTCTGAGCTGCCAAGGGATAACTCTCCACATAAATGTCTATCGCTACTTCATCCTTAACTTGACTGTGCCCGTTATTGTGCTCACAACCTTAGTGAAGTTAACTACTTCTGGATGCTTTGTGAGGGCATCTACCTGCACACTCTGGTAGTTCTTTGCAGAAAAACAACCTTTTCTTTTAGTATTATCTGCTGGGCTGGGGTAAGTTAAAGACATATCAGACATATATACATCCATATTGACGCTTGCATACTTTCTGGCCAATAAACACAAATGTCACACAACATATTAGATTTCACAGGCTTTCCAATTATACCGGCAGTGATATACTCGATAGTGCATAACTTTGGAGCCACAGATCATTTCAACAGAAATCACGTGTCAGGCAAAATTGGGAGGAAAGGCAATTTAAGTGACTTTGAATGCCTCCTTTTTGTTGGTGCCAGACGGGCTTGTCTGAGTATTTCAGAAACTGCTGATCTGTTGGGATTTCCCCACACAACCATCTCTGTGGTTTACATAGGATGATCTAAAAGCAGCAGTTCTCTGGGTGAAAAGTCCTTGTTAATGTCAAAAGTCAGAAAAGAATGGTCAGACTGCTTTGAGCCGTCATGAAGGGAAAAATAACTTAAACAAACCCTTGTTACAACCAACTCACCTAGAAGAGCATCTTAATAGAGGAGAAGACTACACCAGATATCACTCTTGTCAGCTAAGAACAGGAAACTGAGTCTACAATTCACACGGGCTCACAAAATCTGGACAACAGACGGTTGGGCAAATGTTACCTGGTCTGATGAGTCTTGCTTTGAGCTGCAACATTCAGATCAAAGGGTCAGAATTTGGTGTAAAGAACATGAAAACGTGAATCCATCCTTATAGGATCGCATTAGATCAATGCTTCAGGGTGCTAATGGTGGAGTATTGTTGCTGACCATTTCCATCCTTTTATGACCACAGTGTATACATCTTCTGATGACTGCAGAATAAAACAAAGTGTAAAAAAGCTTAAATCATCTCAATATGGTTTCTTGAACATGACAATAAGTTCACTGTACTCTGGCCTCTACAGTCACCAGACCTTAATCCAATAGAGCATCTTTGGGATGTGCATCTGATAAATCTGCCATGGACCAAAATCTCTGAGGAATGTTTCAGCCACTCTGTTAAATCTGTCCCATATAGAAATAACCCTGGTACTTCGGGGTGGCTGTAGCTTAGGTGGTAGAGCAGATCATTTACTAATTGGAAGGTTGGTGGTTCGATCCCTGGTTGCTTGAGAAATATCCAAATATAGTTGTGCAAGAGACTAACCCCAAGTTACTTGTGAGTGTTAACGTTATATAGAACGGAGTATAGGAATAGGTGAAATAGGTATTGTCACCCTTTGAGTCCTTAGGTAGAGTAGAAAGCACTACACAAGAAACAGTCCATTGCTTCTCAGTACTTCCATACTAAATAAATGCACTGAAGGCAAACAATACGGGTTTATATCAGTTTTGTAGAATTCATTCCTCCATAATCATTCTATCCACGTTGTGCAATGTGCCAATACCTCTGGCAGCAACACAGCCCAAGAGCATGATGCTACCACCACCATGCTCGACAGCATGTTCTCATGTTTGAAAGCCTCACTGTTACCCCTCCAAACATACCTTTTATCACAGTGGCCAAACAGCTCAATCTTTCTCTCATCTAAGCACACAACCTTTCTTCAGAAGGTATTTGGCTTGTAAATGTGGGCAGCTGCAAATTTCAGTCAAGTTTGAAGGTGTCAATTTTGGAACAGGGGCGTCTTTCTTGGTCAGCACCGTCTTAGTCCATGGTGAGGTAAAATAGGCTTCACTGTGGACATTGATGCTGACGTTTGTGTAGTTTCTAGTTCATGACAGGCTTGAACATTTATAGTTCCTGAACATCCTAACCATTTTCCTCTCATCTAACTAACTTGTACTTTGAATTGTTTTAACTTTAAATCTACAGTTGTACAATCCTTCTTTTTCCACTTTGTTCTTTGGATTTTCCACATTGTTCTGAGTATTGGTCAATCCAATGAGTCCAGTCAAATGAACCCTTTTAATGCACAGAGAAACTACCAGCTGTAATAAAAAAAAAAGTAGTAATGAAACATTAACAAGCCTTAGCCTTGTCAAGGTAAAAGACACCATAGAACTGTCATTACAAAATATATTTGAATCTATCTATCTATCTATCTATCTATCTATCTATCTATCTATCTATCTATCTATCTATCTATCTATCTATCTATCTATCTATCTATCTATCTATCTGTCTACCTACCTACCTACCTACCTACCTACCTACCTACCTACTTTTGATCCATTGTGGATTAGAGAAAAATAAATTAACATTTGTGCATCCTGTTCTTGTTTTTTTTTTGTTGTTGTTGTTGTTTTATTACAGATGTATGGTACCCTGGAAAAAGAACAGTTCAAAGAAATCATTAAAAGAACAGAATTGGACAGGCGAGAGATGGCAGCATAGTAAACAACCCCCAGACAAAAGTCAACAAAAACCATTCTGAAGCCAATAAAAACAGAGGTAAAAACCACAGTGCCTTAACTTTTAGAAAGGGGTGAAGATGACAACCACCTCTGAGAGTAAGAAATCTGTTCTACCTGTCGATAAACTCAACGAAATACAACCCCCTGAAGAACCTAATGATAGCCG